GGTATCCCTACATCATCACCCTTAGAACAGTCCTTTTAAGAGTGTTGGAACCTACAAGATGAAATTTAGATCAAACCTACAAGACGTAAGGAAGATGTGACTCCTGTGAATTGAGTCATTCTCTCATAGGGTAGGTGGCCGTCAGTTGTGGGGTTTTGCCCTCCCTGTGGTTCTGAAATAAATGCAACTAAAATTGATCTTAATAGTTAATGATTCACAGTGAACCCATGCGTATTCTGAAATGCATTTTAGCAACTATTAACGATTGTTTTATATCTGAGGCATTATTCAAAAATTCTCTTTCTGGCTGAGCCTAAAATAGCAACTTAAGCACATGAAAGCAAACAGTGTTTCAGGGCTGTGGGAGGGTTACTTACATAGCACACCCAAACAATCGTGTCATCCTTACACTAGGCCCTGACAAAGCGCTGTTTGAGTCATAAGTCACTTCAGTTTGGTGGTGTGGAGGTGAGATGCTGTAGCACAGGCTTCTGTGTGACCATGGTGTCAGTATAACAACGACAGGTTTCTTCGTGTGACTATAGTGTCATGTGTAGGAAGGTCCCAAAGTCTGAAACAGAAAGAGAAAAAAGACTGTAGGGAAGTCTTAAATTTTATGTTTTGCTCTGAAGAAGTCAGATAATTATAGTTTGTAAAATGTACCTACAGAATCTAGGTTAAACAGAGAATGGCCAAATGAATTGCTGGATGTAGAGTAACTGGCCCTCACTTTCTGACTGAGCGTCCCTCAACCACCAAGCATCCCCTTGTACATTTCAGGTTGTTTATTTAGAGTAACTGAAGACTTTTGAGTCATAAGAATGGTTCTTCTGGAAGGAAGGGAGAGAAGAGAAAGGAGGAAAAGAAAACATTTGTAGTGGTGCCTGCTTATAATCCTTACTCTTGGACGCCTCACTGAGGCAGGGGTGTTGGAGTGAGGTCAGGGCCAGCCTGGGGATACATAGCAAGACTATCTCACTGACATGTTGTTTGTCCTCCTTTGCACTGTATTTTAAGGATTTATTTGTGCGGGTATTTTGTCTGCGCACCATGTGCGCGCAATGGCTGTAAAGGCCAGAAGAGGGCGTCCCTGGAACTGTAGCTACAGAAGGTGGTCAGCTGGCATTTCAGTGCTGGGAACTGAGCCTAGGTCCTCTATAAAATCAGCAAGTGCTCCTAGCTGCTGAGCTATTATCCCTAGCCCCTGCACTTTATATACTTGTAAAAATAGGTGCATGCTGCAGTGCCTGCCTGGGAGCTGGGTCCTGAACTTGGGTCCTTATGATGGTATGGCAAATACTTAACCAACTGAGCCATCTTCCCAGCCGTGTGTCACTCATTATGATGTTCCTCAAGACAGGGAACTTTTTCTCACATAGAAATTAAGGGGTTGTTGGGAGGTAAGGTAAATGCAGCTCAGGATTTAAGAAGAAAGTGGTGAGTCCTGGTACAGTTCTAGCCTTGTAATCCAGTAAGTGGATTTCTCCACTTGTTAAATGTGCTTTTTGGGTAATTGTAAAACATAGGAAGTTATAAAAAAAATTAGTACAAATATTAAAGATTTATAGGAAGTTGCAAAACCTGTACAAAGAAATCCGCCATCCCTTATATGTGGTTTTTCCTGCAGTTACATCTTGACTGTAGTACTATATCAAAATAGAAAAGAGATGTTTGTGCCATGTGTGTCCCTGTAGTTGTGAGATATTTTATTATGTACGCAGACCTGTACTACTTTATATATCGGAAACAACTCTTCCTTCACCTGGAGCACCCTGCTACCTCTCTTAGGTCACAACTGTCCTCTACCCTTTTCTCCCCCATCCTGCCTTCTTTGACTGCTCCTTCCTCTCGTGGAATCTGTCTCTCTTGACTCTTCGTAAGATCCCAGGATTACTCTTTACTATTAAGCAGTGATTTCCAATCATGTTTTTCCTATGGTGGCTTGCTCAGTTTGAAGATCTTTCATCTTCTGTTTTTCTTAATTGCTGTTGAGAAATGAACCCAGAACCTCACACGTGCTAAGCAGAAGCTCTACCCCCAGTCTACATCCCCAGGTGCTCCTTTTTCTCTTTGTGTGTGAGTTGCACACTCAGGCACATTGTAGGTGTGTGCACGTCATGAGCACTTGTGGAGGTCAGAGGACAACTTGCAGGCTTTTCTACCCTGTGAGGTTGAACTCTGGTCAGGCAGCAAGCAGCTTTACCCACTGAGTGCTCACCCCACCTAGTTTGCTAGTCTGTTTTGAGCTTTTATCCACCTGCTCTCTGAAATTGAGTACACACATGGAGACTTCTCTTTTTCTTACTGGAGTTTTATTTTGCTGGATGCAAGATTCTACAACTTTGAAGTTGCTTTGAAGTTGTTGCTTTCAGTTGCCTAGAAGCATTCTCTCAAAGTAATTTGTACTTGAAAAAATTCATGAGACTTGTTGTTTTTAATCTCTTTGTCTCCAGGGTCCTGCTTTCTCTTTTCTTTTCTTTTTTATGCTATGCTTTGGTTTCCTCTCCACGTACTTCATCTCTGTACTGAGCCATAGGAAGGTCAATAGTTATCTTTAAGTTCTTGGCCATTTCTCATATTGCTTTTTTCTTATATCACTTAAGGTTCTTGTTATTTAGATGTTAACACATAGATTCTTAATTAACATTAAATTAGTGTCTTGGTGGTTTTTGCCAAGTGGGTGTTATTTTAGTCAGGGTTCTCTAGAGGAACAAAAGTGATAGAATGAGTCTGTCTGTCTATTCATTCATCTATCTATCAATCCGTCTATATCTACAAAGGGTATTTACTAGAATGACTTACAGGCTGTGGTCCAGCCAGCCCAGCAATGGCTGTCTACCAACAGAAAGTCCAAGAATTTAGTAGTGGTTTAGTCCACAAGGCCGGATGTCTCAACTGGTCTTCAGTATATGCTGGAATCTTGAAGAAGTAGGCTTCAATGCTAGTGAAGGATGAACTTGCCAGGGAGAGTGAGGGCAAGCAGGCAAAGAACAAAGGCTTCTTTCTTCCATGGTCTGTCTGTCTGTCTACCTATCTACCTACCTATCTGGCCACCAGAAGGTATGGCCCAAATTAAAGGTGGATCTTGCCACCTCAAAAGATCTGGATTAAAGGAAGGTCTTCATGCATTGGAGGATTTGAGAAAAAATGCTTACAGGTGTACCTAGTTGCCTTGGTTTTAGTTAATTCCAGATGTAGTCAAGTTGACAACCAAGAATAGATATTACAAGTCCACACCTTGTCAACTTGACTCACAATCACAGCTCCTTACTTCGTGCTTAGTTTCCAGATAAAATTAATAACCACTAATAGTTATGCCTAACATGATCTAACTATCCCATGTACAATTGCAAAATTCATTACAAGTTTTAGAATAAGTGGCAGTGTTTCTTAAGGGACATTCTTTTAGTATCTCAAAAATTAAATACAATAACCACTGATAACTCTCCTAATTGATGTTAGACTACATAATAAAGAAACAAGGAAATGCACCAGTGTCTGCACAAACACATTCTTACGAAGCATGACAGATGGAATAACTTCTCTATCTGTCGAAGAGTAATGATGATATTTTCTTCCTCAGATTTCTTTGTTTCTGTCGTAAGGGTGGTTTTTGTTTTGTTTTGGTGTCGGTCCTTTCTCTGATGGTTTTTGCTATATTGTAGAACCCCTTCGGTAGAATTGAAATCTATAGACAGAAACTCTGCTTTAAAGTCAGATGAATTCAGCTTTATTAGCATATACCTATTAGGATACTTTAAATGGTGCTATAAATTAGTCATAGGTATGTATTTCATTTACATTCAGTAAGATATGGTGGTAATAACCATAATTTTGGAGCATTGAGACAGAAGTGATATTTCCGAGCTGTTGCGATGCGAAAATACGATTTCCTTTGTATCACAGAGCACGTTTATTGTGTTGTACTCTGCAGCCTCACTTGTTTTTACTGTTATTTTTTTAATGTGGATGGATGTTTTATTTGAAACCACATCTGTATACCACGTGAGTGTCTGGTGCCCACAGAGGCCAGAAGAGGGCCCTGGATCCCCAGGAACTGGATTTACAGACTATTGGGAGCAACCACGCCGGAGCTGGCTATCAGGCCTGGGTCCTCTGTAAGATCAGCAAGTGTTCTTAACTGCTGCACCTCCTGCAGCTCAGGGTGCTTCATTTCAAGTGGAGGGCATTAGTGTACAGTTGTTTTTCTTTTTAATTTTATACAAGATCTTGAGCCATTTGAATTCTACTTTTAGACCATTGGGGTGATCAAGAACTCCTTTACTAAAAAGTTTTCTTTCAAATATGTGGTGTCAACAACTGCCAGGGCATAGAATGGGATGTTTTAAAAGCTTAATTGTGGAGGTAGGAGTTGGCTTAGTGAGAACTGACTTTGAATCTCAAGCCTCAGGTGAAAAACCAGCCCGGTAGCACCTGTCTGTAAACCTGAGCACTAGGTGGGGGGTGGGTAACGGGACAGATAGAACGTGGGTTGGGTGGGGATAGCTGGCTATGGCCGACCCAGTCTAGCTGAAATGGGAGCTCCAGGATCAGTGAGAGACCATCGCAGAAACCCAGCGTTGGCCTCTGCTGCACATCCACATACCCGTTAGCAAGCCTGTTGGCATATGCACACACACATCACACCATACACCTATAAAAAGGAAGAAAGGAAAAGCTAATTGTGGGGGCTCCGAGTGAAGTGATCACTTTGGTAGTCAGCAGTGATTATTATGTGTTATGGAATATTCAACTTTACTTATCTCTCAGAGAACACTCCATCATACGCTGCCTCTGAAATACATATTTTAGATAGTAATTTTATGCATATAATCTAATACAATTTGTTTCAGCTTTTACAGAATAATTAATATTGTTAGATATTCCTATTGGTTGTTCCAGAAAAGAACATACACAATCTTTACTGCTTAAATTTCCCTAATGTAAGAAAACTATTTCTTACATTTAACTTATGCTTAATTTTTATATTAATCTTCTAGGAGCTTTCAAGCTGTGGCTGGAATAAAAAAGAAAAGTACAGTTCTGCACCAAATGCAGTTGCTTTCACAAGAAGATTTAATCATGTGAGTTGTGCTTATCGGGCAAGGGAGGGCGTGGCTTGCGGGGTTGTGCATGCTCTTGTGGAAGCCAGAGGTTGCTGGCTTCCTGTCATAGGGCAGTCACCGCTGTCCTATGTGTAAGACGGTGCTCAGTGAACTTGGAGCCTGTGGACAGACCGCACTGCTGACCAGTAAGCGCCCAGAGGCCTGTGTCCACAGACCCTCCCACCCGCCCCAGCATTGTCCACCAGCTTTTTACATGAGTGCTGGCACACAGGGTCAGGGCTTCACATTTGCACAGCAGGTACTTTGCCCACCAAGTCATCTTCCTGGTCTTTCCCTTTTTGTATGTTCGACTTTTTGAGGCAGGGTCTTGTGTTGTTCAGTTTAACCCTGAACTTGCTATGTAGCTAACGATGATGACATTGAACTCCTCTTGTCTCTGCCTCCTTAGTGCTGGGATTGTAGTCATGTGCCACAGCACCTAGCTTTGCTGTTTATTTTCTTAAACTTCTTTATGATTCTCATAGACATCCCAGAAATATTTGAATACACAAGTTGTGTAGCCATCCTTGCACTTCGTCTTTGTAACATAGGCCATTATGTAATGTGTAAGTTCTCCTGCGGCCTTCCTCATTGATTATGCCTTCCTGGAGGCACACATCCAGTGCAGGGAGCTTTAACTCATTTAATCTTTGAGTGTCAGCACTTTCCAGGCTGAACTGAGCTATTCTTGATAATAGAATGTTTTCTGAATTTTGGTCTTTGTGAAGAATGTTGCTGTGGGTATTCTGAGTCTTCTGCTGTGCTGGAGCAACAGATTATCCAGGCAGTGACTTCTAGCCATCTCTACCTTAAGTTCTTGTGTTCATATCCGAGTCCCTAACACTGAGTCTCTCTGATTTTTAAATTTTGGTGTTTTTAGAACTTGTTAATCTACAGTTTCCTCCTTTGTTATTTTTGTGATATGCACACGAATGAATCCAAGCATATTGACTGTTGGGTGTTATCTATAGGTTAACAGCTAGTGTCATAGGTTTGGTGAGTTTGGGTCCCTTTAGCGAGAGTTCATTAGGAGGCTCTGAGTAGTGTCTGGTTGTCTTCTCATGAGGTTAGCAGTTGTTGGTTAAGTGCATCTAACTGAGGGTATTACAGGTGCATTCTCATCTTATTCTTTTATTCACAGTTTGAAATGTTTGGTGTAGTGCTTTGAATGAGGTGGCCCTTAGGTTCATGTGTTTGAATGCTCCGTCCCCTGTTAATGGATCTGTTTGGGAAGGATTAGGAAGTGTGGCTTTGTTAGGGGAGGTGTGTCACAAAGGAGGGCTTCAAGATTTCCAGAGCCCATACCATTCTCAGTATCTCTCTCTGCCTGCTGCCTGAGGATCAGCATGTATAGCTACTGCTGTTGGACCAGCTACTGCCTGCCTCCTGCCTTAAATGTGGACTAACCCACTAAATTGTAAGCAAGCACTCAATTCAGTGCTTCCTGTATAGGACTTGCCTTGGTCTTGGTGTCTCTTCACAGCAGTAGAACAGTGACAAAGACCCTTGGGATTGGTATTTTTCATACCTATAGTTTGTTTATCCAGACAGTCATTTTAAAAGAAGCACCCAAGGACTGAAGTTTGATTCTTTCCTATTATTTAGTAGTTTTAAAGATAATGATTTGATGTTCCATAATCTTTAGGTAGTAACCAAGTAGTTTTGATTCTGTCCTGTTCCTCTCTACCTCTCAGTTGTCACATTGTCCCATTTTCAGCCAGTAGGTGTCCTTACAGCTGTTTCCTTGAAATCTCAGGGAACTCCCTGATGCATCAGGTTCTAAGGACCAGTTTTCCTTCTCTTCTATAATACATTTGCATGTCCTTTTCCTGCACCCTTAGGGAAACACAGCCCTGTAGTTCACTCACTTTCTTTATTCTGCATAACAAATCACAGTCTTAAAATGACGACAGTTGCATATTCCTGATCTGAAAGTGCAAGTCTGAAATGCTCAAAAACCCTAAATGCTCTAGTGATACCACAAGGAGACTTTGTTCCTGACTTCATGTGATGGGTCTTACACATAGGTGTATTCACAACTATTAAGTGAAGTTGGTTTTAGCTGTTTGTATAATGTGTGTATAAATTTAGTGTTTACACTTGGGTCTCATCCCCAAGACATCTTATGTTTATACAAATGCTCTAAAATCCTAAAAATTTCTTTTAGGGTATGTTCAGCGTATCCTAAGAACCAGCCACTACCATGACTGTGAAAAGCAGATGGGCTCACTGGCACTGTGTGCCCTGATGCCCATTTTGATGGCTGAGCTCAGTACTGAGTGTACAGGCAGTGTAGAGCATGCTTTCTAACCAGGAGAGGGCACCACTTCTCATTATAGATGGATATGAGCCACCATGTGGTTGCTGGGGACTGAATTTGGGACCTCTGGAAGAGCAGCTGTTGCTCTTAACCTCTGAGCCATCTCTCCAGCCTTGGGCTTTCTAATTTAATCTTAGTTCTGTGAATAAGTATTTAGTGTGTGCACAAGCTTATATTGATGTTTATCAGCATGTTTAATGTCCAAAACTTGCTCTCAAGTAGCTCACTGGACAATAATGCCTAGCTTCTGGCATGAAGGCAAATTTACTTGTGTTCTTTATAGGTGAGAACCAGCTTTATTGGATATAAGATCCTTGATTCTGTTTTCTTTCCTTGGTTATTTTTTCTCCTGGCTTTGAGTGTATGTTGGTATTGAAAAGTTGGATGATAATTTTTTTCTTTAAAAATAATTTTCTCCTTTTGTTTTAAATGCCAAATGTGTTTTTAAGTCCAATAATGGTATCGAACTACTTCTTAGTTCTGGTTATTCTGGCGGTGTCCTCAGAAATACTTAGCCCTAATGGGGACTGTTTTAGTCTTCTTAGCAGAGGGTCTCAGAGTGGTAGTTCAGGCTCTACCAGGAGAATATTCTTGCACTTGAGGCAGACAAGATGTGGTCTCTTAGGACTTCACTGTGGAAGTCAGAACCAGCGTGGCTAATAACCTTTTCATGAAAGCAGTCCACGTGCTGCCCAGACTCAAAAAGGGGTATGATGGACACCACAACTTTTGATGAAAATGACAAAGAATTTGGATTTTTAAAATTTTATTTGTCTTAAAATGTGTCTAACATGAAATTTAATTAAGTCATTGATTATGCAGTTTAGATTTGAATTAATTGTTTATATTTACTAAAGTACCTACTTAAATATTTGTAGTATAACTTTTGCTAGTTCATAAAATCTTGTTAGGTAAGGGGAGCATTGTGGCCATTAGTATAAGAGGTATTATAATGACTTTGTAAAATATGTAATTTTATATTAACAAATTGCAATTATACACACACATATGTTGACAGCTGTTTACAGGTGAAAATTCCAGGAAAAATCTGTATTATTTCTCCTCTTAGAAGTGAAGAAATATAGGCTATGGCATCATGACTCTTTCATGAAGACTTTTAACAATGTCCTGTTTTTAGATTTAAGTTTGAACCAACTTAAAATATTTAGATTCTATTTTTGCAGTACGTGAATTAATGAGTACTATATACATGTTATGCCATTTGGTAAGCAACAGACCTAATCTGCCGTCTAATGAGTGTTTTAGAACTTTGTGTACACGTGCACATGTTCATTTGTGTCGGAGTGCACGCAGGCGGTCAGAGGGTAACCCAGAGTTGATTCTCCACGTCCACCACAGGGTCACGGGATCAAACTCAGGTTGCCATCCTTGCAGCTGTCATGGCATTTTTACCTGCCTCCCCCACATCATCTGAGCCATCTTAGCAGCCTCTGGTAAATGTTTTTTAGGTTTTGTTTTTTAAATTAAGGCTTCATTAGAATTCAAAAATATTATACAGTTTTTCTTTAAAGATTTATCTATCTTTATCTATTTATTTATGGGTATGGTGTGTTTTGTGTACATGTCCGTCTGCATACTAGACAAGGGATCACATGGGTACTGGGAGCTGAACTCAGGACCTCTGGAAGACTAGCCAGTGCTCTTAACTGCTGAGCCATATCTCCAAGCCCATCACAAAACTTAAAATGAAGTCGTAAATTTATATTCCATGATGTTTTCTTTTAGTTGTAAGAAAACTATAGTCAAGGGCAGAAGAAAGTATGTTTAAAAATAACTATAGGAAGTATATCAAGAAGAATTTAAAATGCTAATTTTAATCTTGGTAAATCTTACCCTTTGGTTATTTTTTTAATTTTCATTTTCAGGTAAGCTTTTGGGTTGTTCGAGAGATTCTCCATGCTCAGACGTTGAAGATAAGAGCAGAAGTTTTGAGCCACTATATTAAAACTGCTAAGGTAAGTATGGCTTGATCTTTAGCTCACCCACTCAGAAACGTTTTATGTGGCTGCTTATTGGTCCTGAAAAATAGCACCTGTTGAGTTCATTGAATGCCTCTTTTCTCTGATATTTGTAAAATATTAGGTTATGTTGAGGTGCCTGGAGAAAGTCATGTAGGATTTAGTTAGAGGATACATAGTGCTTTTTGTTACTGGGTTTCGTTACTTATCTACTTAAATTATTAAATAAACCACCCAGCTATAAGTAAAATAAGGTTTTTTAGGTCAGAGAGATGGCTTGGTGGTTCGGTGTACTTGCTTCTCTTCCAGAGGACTCAAGTTCGCTTCCCAGCATGCCTTTGGTGACTTGATGTCTCTTTCTGACTTCCATTTCATGGACACTAGGCACTCACAGAGTACACAGACACACGTGTATGAAAACACTAATATACATAAAGTAAAGACACATAAATCTTAAGAAAAGATAATATTTTCAGACAGTTTTGCAGTAGACCATGCTGACTCTGGACTTGTGTTCACCCACCCTCTGACTCCTAGGTAGTTGTGGAGTACCGTATCCTCCTAGACTCTAGTGTAAAAGAGTAGTACATATACTGCTAACAGGTGCAATGAGGAGTTGCCGAGAGGCATAGGTAATAAACAGAGTTGGAGAAGCAGTATGGTTTTTAAGGATAATAGTTTCAAAGAGAGGAGCAGGACACTCCACAGGAAGATACTGAGATTAGCTTGTAACAACTCCAAATTCATGTGAACTTCACTAAGTGTGCTGACGCTTCCATTCTTCATCATTGTTGGAGATTCTTGTTGGAGATTCTTGTAATCCCGTCCCACTTTGTTTTCTCCTTCCTCCAATGTCCATTCTGTTTGTCTTTCTGAGTGAGGATTGATCCTCCTACCCAGGGTCCTCTTCTTTGCTCAGCTTCTTTAGGTGTACAGATTTTTATATGTTTATGTGTCTAATATCTACTTATAAAGTGAATATATATACCATGTGTGTCTTTCTACTTCTGGGATACTTTCACTCAGGATGATCTTTTCTAGATCCCACCATTTGCCTGCAAATTTCATGATTTGTTTGTTTTTAACTGCTGAGTAGTATTCCATTGTGTAATTGTACCACAATTTCTGTATCCATTCCTCAGTTGGGGGGCATCTGGGTTGTTTCCAGCTTCTGGCTATTACGAATAAAGCTGCTATGAACATGGTTGAGCAAATGTCCTTGTTGTATACTTGAGTGTCTTTTGGATTTATGCTAGGAGTGGTATAGCTGGATCTTGAGGTAGCACTATTCCTAATTGTCTGAGAAAGCACCAGATTGATTTCCAAAGTGGTTGTACAAGTTTACATTCTCACCAGCAATGGAGGAGGGTTCCCCTTTCTCCACATCCTCTTCAGCATGTGCTGTCACTTGAGTTTTTGATCTTAGCCATTCTGATGGGTGTAAGGTGAAATCTCGGGGTCGTTTTGATTTGCATCTCCCTGATGACTAAGGATGTGAGCATCTCTTTAGGTGTTTCTCTGCCATTCGATATTCCTCTACAGAGAATTCTCTGTTTAGTTCTGTTTCCCATTTTTAGTTGGATTACTAGATCTGTTGCTGTTTAACTTCGTTTGTTTTTATATATACTGGATATTAGCCCTCTGTCAGATACAGGGTTGGTGAAAATCCTTTTCAAGTCTGTAGGCTGTCGTTTTGTTCTGATGACAGTGTTCTTTGCTTTACCGAAGCTTTTCAGTTTCATGAGGTCCCATTATTGATTGTTGATTTTAGAGCCTGAGCTGTTGGTGTTCTGTTCAGGAAGTTGTCTCCTGTGCCAGTGAGTTCAAGGCTCTTCCGCACTTTTTCTTCTAACAGGTTTAGTGTGTCAGGTTTTATGTTGAGGTCTTTGATCCACTTGGACTTTAGTTTTGTGCAGGGTAATAAATATGGATTTATTTGCATTTTTCTACATGTAGACATTCAGGTAGACCAGCTCCATTTGTTGAAGATGCTATCTTCTTTCCATGGTATGGTTTTGGCTTCTTTGTCAACAATCAAGTATTCATAGGTGTGTGGGTTCATTTCTGGGTCTTTTATTCAATTCCATCTGTTTACTATTTAAGTTGGGATTTTTTTCCTGAGCACGAGGAAACAATCTTATTCTAACATTCTGTGGCACTAGGTGGCAGGACTAGCCTTTTTACAGAAATGTTATAGGAATTTTTAAAAACATTCTTTGTGAGAAGTTTAGTAAGTACTAGTTTTGAACTAGAGAAAGTAATGGCTTTTCCCATAGATTCTAAATTTCTTTTTTCCCCCCTGATATCTTTTGTAGATTTTTCATTTATTTGTATGTTTTTGTCCATATAACCTACCATTTTTCTACCAAATAAGTAAATTTCTCTCCAGACTCTTTGACTTCCATTTGAAAGCTTTTGCTTCTGTTGCAGGCCCAGTTCCCTAATGTGGTCCTTATCAGTATTCAATCAGCTTCGGACACTTTGCCCTTTGTATTCAGCCTGTGATAAAATCTCAAGTAGGACTTTTTCTTTAATACCTGTTTTATTCAGTATTCTCTAGCGAGACAGAACTGGTAGCATTCTGTATAAACTCGTATAAAGAGTCAAATATAAAACAGAAGGTAATTGGCTTACTTCATTGGCGGGACTGGCGAGTCTGAAAATGTCAGGGCATGGCGATGACTGCAGACTCAGGTTCAAGTGGAGGCCAAAGTGTCAAGGTGGAATCTCTTCTTTTCCTTCTAGGTCCTCTGCATATTTTGGCATATATCCAGTCTAACGTGTTATTTAGTTGCCAGTAAATGTTTAGTGTACATTGATTTAATGGCTAGTTTACCGGCTAAATTATATAATCTTCTGTGAAGGTTTATATCCTGTTTCATGTCTGTTGTTTTGTTTTTATTTGCTTTTTTGGGGGTTTTAAATTAAATCCCATCATAGGAGTTGTCTGGTAAAATGACTAACTGTAAAATGACTGGTTTTTAGATGCCGCTTTTAGGGTCGAAGTGTTATGTGGTATGACAGATTTGAGAAATCAATAGCAGTGTAAAGTGGGCTTCTTGGGAAATTAGTAGAACGTAATTTTTGATGTGTGCATACTGTCAGAACAATATTCCATAATGAACTAGAGACAAATGATTTAGGGTCTTGAGTATAAAGAATCAGGAAATGAAGCAAGGAACTAAAGACAACAATTTTTTTTTAACTCTAGCCCTGGGATGATAGGCGCACTGGGCAAGAAACCAGCCTGCGTAGGCTCTTTCTTGTGGCTTGGTCCAGGAAGTAGACAATCAGTCATATTTCACTGCCAGAGATGCAGGTGCGCCCCAGAGCCAAGCGCATGGCCATTATGGTCATGCCAGTTAGCCTTGGCACCAAGACGTAGCTTCAGCTTTGAAAATATACTGCCAGTTTAGAGCTGGGGTTATTACCAGAGCGTGGGTGAAAAATGTCAAGGTAGAACATGGACATTCTATTATGGGCCAAAAATAATCTTACTGGGTGTCCTAGAAGGCAGTTCTCAACAATGACAGCAACAGCAATAAATACTGGTATACTGTCCACTGCCTAAATTGTGTTCTTCTGTATTTTCCTGCATTCATTTTCTTTAAAATAACAACAACCAAACCAACCCTTCTTCCTCCTTTTCTTAAATCTTCAGAAACTATATGAACTTAATAATCTTCATGCACTTATGGCTGTGGTTTCCGGCTTACAGAGTGCACCAATTTTCCGGTTGACCAAGACGTGGGCGGTGAGTAACCCTGCGGAGTTTAATGAAACATTAGACTTCTGTGCGAAGATTCTGGTTTTGTTTGTTTTGTTTTCTAAGTCTTAGGTGAACATCATGGTTACAAAAATAAGAATTCTTAAATTGTCTTGCATGTTATTCTTTGACACCTCTATTTAAGATGGCGTAAGCATTGCACTGAAGTAATTTGTGGATAGGTGAAGACTGATGCTTTGTTTTTGCACTTTAGAGAATTCTTTTGAATACCTCTTTGATGACATTATATCTAATATTCACCTGTAATTTGCATTTAACTGTGTGCAGATTATGCTTTTGTTAAGTTTGAAGCTCTAAGTCATAACATTTACAACTTACTAATTTTAAGTTCCATTATTTTTTAGCCATAAATTTTAAGAGTAGTAAAAGAAAATTTCATGGTAGACATGGAATTATGTGGCATTGCTGACGTTCTTTTATGACAGTCATCATGTTAGGTTCTATTACTCTATTACTTTGAAAGATTAGGGTATGATTTTTGGCATCCACTAGTGTTTATATCTTTGGATTGCATGATAGTATACTCAATTTTTCCAGGTTGTTTTTCTTCTTTCCCTTTTTGTTTTTTTTTTTTTTTGTTTGTTTGTTTTAATTTTTATTCTGATAGTGCCTCACACAAGCACTTCATCGTCAGCAGACCACTTGTTTTTACTTTTTGAGGCAATGTGAAATCATCCAAGGTGTCCTTGAACTTGGGGGTCTTTCTGCCACATGGGTACATCAAGTACAGGGTCTTAACTGTGTAGCCCAAGCTGGTGTTATAGTCATGGTTCTGCCTCAGGCTCACATGTGCTAGGATTACAGGTTGGTTATATCCCATGCTGAAAATAGTACTGAATTTTGTCAAAAGATTTGTCTTTTGTTTTGTTTTGTTTTTTCTTTTTCGAGACAGGGTTTCTCTGTATAGCCTTGGCTGTCCTGGAACTCACTCTGTAGACCAAGCTGGCCTTGAATTCAGAGATCCACCTGTCTCAGCCTCTCGAGTGCTGGAATTAAAGCTGTGCACCACCACACCAGGCAGATTAATGAGTCTTGATGGTCTCATTCTAAATATATTATTTACTCTATAAAATTGATTATTCATTTTTGTCTTTTAAGAAAGTGTCTTGGTATATATAACCCAGACTGGCCTTAAAAATATGGGATCCTCTTGTCTCAGCCCTTTGAGTGCTGGATTCTAGGTGTATATTGCTACATCCAGCAAAATCTTTTTTAAGAACTTAGTAAAATCATTGTGTGGCGCACTCACTGGTTTGCGCATGTTCATGTGTGAGTGTGTGCGCTTTGGGAACCAGACAGCCGCCTCAGGTGTCGTTTTTTTTAGACACTGTCCCCCTCTCTTTTAAGACAGGGACTCACTGGCCTGGAACTCAACAGTCAGGTTAAGTAGGTTGGCCCATGAGCTCCAGGGCTTCTTTTCTCTTCACCCCCCAGGACTGGGATTGTGCAACTCAGGGCTGTGTGATTTCAGTGTGAGCACTTGGTGTCTAAAGAGATAGGTTTTACGTGAAAAGTGGTTTTTATATTGGAAAATCATTAGTGTGGAAGAGCTTATAATCTTAATTTTTCTGTTTTAAACACCTGGTGAAGGATTTTCCTATTTAACTTTTTAAAAAATTGTGATGGTCTAATTCTTTAGAATCTGAATTCTGTGGATGGAGTGAAAATGACTGCAAGTATAGTTAGGAGCTGTCTTTAAAATTCCAAGGAAAAGCATTATACTTCATGTTGTGAAAAGAAAAGTAGAACAGTTCCCCTCCCACCCCCTCGGTATGGGAAGAGGTTGGTTGGTGTCAGTGAACATCACTAGCTAGATGCTAAGGGAGGAAGCCATGGGTAGGAGAAGCAAATGTTGCAGGAGTGGATCACCTTTGCAAAACATTTTAATAGGCTGAGAACAGAGGGACCTTTTTGAAGATGACCACCGGATCTGACACTTGGAAAAGATTGGCAAGAGTGGTGGTGTTGGTGTGGTGGTGGGTGAAAACCTGATTGTGTTAAAGAGTGGCGGCTGAGGACTAGGTCAGTAAGTGTAGACTTTACCTTTGAGAAAGTTTTCTGTAGATCTGGAAGTAGCTAGAGAGAATTGGGAAACTAAAGGTTTATGCCATAATGTTTTTTGATTTTTGGAGATGGGATCTGTGACCTTTGAGTTTTGTGCTGGTTGAAATGGTGTAGTAGGGCTGGAGAGATGGTGAGGAAAAAAACAATTACTAGAGATATATCCTTAATTAGATGAAAAAGAATTAGTTCAGCCCTGAAGTGTTCAAGGAATATTTTTCCATGCAGGTGTACCTGGTTAGGGCTGCAGGTGAACTGGCAGATTGGGTGGTGGTGGGGTCTATAAAAGTTCCTCTGGCTGCTTTGGTTCTTTACAACCAAAGTCTTTAGTTGAGAATTTTGAAAGAAAGCTTTTGGAAGTTAGAAGAAAGAAGGACGGACACGTGTCATCCGGGAGAGTATGAAAGTGCTGTGTCTAGGGAGGCATGAAAGATTAGTGAGCTTTATAAAGAAGTTTTGGCCATGAACTTACAGTGAGAGCAAGCAACAGTTAACATGCTTTCTAGGCTCAGGCCCCATATAAATATGGTGTACTGGTGAGAGATGGATTTAACTCAGCTGGGGGCTTTTTAGTCTAAGTGCTTGTACCGGAGAGATCTAGGTCAGCACGAGAAGTAAAGAGGGAATATAGGAGTTGTCTCATTGAAAGACTAGGAAACGAAGTCAGGCAAAAAAGGTGAGAAATGATAAACAGTGAAAAAGAAGTGAAACATGACAGGGACCACAAAAGTCACAGTAAAATCCCTGCTGTGTTTTAAGAGGACAGAAAAGCGGGCAAAAATGGCAGAAAGAATGTGAGCAGTAATACTTATAAGGGAAGTGATGGTTCATGGGCTCTTCTTTTTTTTCCCCCAGCTTCTAAAATTCTAAAGACTTAAGGGGAAGTTGCTTGCAGGTCTTAAATGACAGTAACATACAGTGTTACTTCTCATTGTTCTCTTGTCTAAAATAGTAGCCCTGGGTGACTATAATTTTAAATCATTAAATCTAACTATTCCTCAGCACTACTAACTACATTGCAAGTACTAAGGTCTGTTGGCTGGCAGCCATTGTATGGACAGCACAAACATAGACTCCCATCATCACACAAAATCTACTGGCCAGTGAATCAGTCCCGTAACTTTATAGGTGCTGAGGACTTGGGAGAAGAAAATGGGATGATAAGCTTGGAGAGATTTTGAAAGCTCAAGAAATAAGAATTAGGTCTAAGCCCCACACAGGCCTTTGCAGGATCTATAAGGGAGGAAAGGATGCTTGCTGAGGTGGATGGGGAAGGCTAAGGATGGAGGTTATCCGAACGACTCTGAGTTGCAGTAGGTGTAGGTGGGAAGGTTTGGGTAGAGTATAGACTGTGGTCTCAGGTCAGTGTAAGAAGGCAGGTGTTTTGTACCCATTGGGATTGAGTAAAATCTTGAGGGTTTTTGTCTGTTTAGGGTCAGAAAGCTTATAATACCCTATTACTAAGTGAAATATTAGGAACATTCTCTCAATATTAAAGAAAAAGGTGCTTATTTTCACTGTTTCTGTTCAACACAGGGCACTTAGCTGCTGTAATAAAATAAGAAAAATAATTTTTTTGATGAGGAATGGGGGGTAATTGTTTAGATTAATTTGCTTGTCTATATGGAAAACTAAATTATTTTAAAAGAATTTATTAAAAAACAGTGAAAAGTCCCCTAAAAATTAAGCAGAATTATCATGCAGTCCAGTAGTTCTGCTTCTGGACTTGTGCCCAAAATAATTGAAAGCAAAGATATAAACATACTTTTGCACAAATGTTTGCAGCAGCCAAAAAGTAGAAATAATCCAGGCATCTGTAAGTAGACGAATGTTAGAGAAGTGTGATGTACTGTATACATAAAGCAACAGTATCATTCATCCGTACAAAGGACACTCTGCAACATGTTATCCCGTGGGTGTGCCTTACGGATGTACCATGTGAAATGTACAGGTGTAAAATGATTAGTAGGATTCTATTTGAGCGGCCTAGAGACAATAGAACAGTGGTGGCCAGAACCTGGGAGAGATGAGAAAGGGGTTACTGGATAATGGCATATAGAACTGTTACATGTAATAGTTACCTTTTCCTGTTGCTGTGCAACACCTGATTTTGAAACAGCTTGAGAGAGAAAGGTGAATTTAGAAGTCACATCCTTCATCAAGGCTGTCCAATGAAACAGAACCCAAGTCAGTACAGGAATCAGGCATAACCTTCAAGGCTTGCTCCACCACTCATTTCTTCTGGCCAAGACATAAGTCCCAAAGATTCCACAGCCTCCCCAAATACACCACTAGCTCAGGTGCTGAAACAAATTAGGCCAGGAAAGGGGCATTTCAGACTTAACCTAAGACAGTAAATGCCTCCTATAAGATCACGTGGGAAAGTCTTTTAGGAAGCAGTGGCACATTCTAGTGGAAGGAAGTTCTGTCATTGAGGGTAGTCCCTCATACACACACATTCCTGAATTACCATGAGGTAAGCACATGTTCTCTGTCATGTTCTACCTCATCACAGACCCAAAGCAGTGGGGCCACAGTTAAATATGTTCTTCCTCGGATGTAGATGTATCTCAAGTTTTGTCATACCTAATGGTGGTCCCGAGAGTCAGGACTGTCACTGTAACTGTACCTGCTGGTATGTTTCAGGGCCTGTGGAGCAAACTGTGAGCAGTTTGGGAAAAGTGGAGAAACAGCCCAGAGAAAGTTTAGAATCCTAAGCGTGGAGCTTAATGAGGCAGTTATGGTTGGAACTTAGAAGACCAGGGTAGAGATTCAGATGTGTGTGAAGATGAAACTCATGAGGTCAGAGGCCATTCACTTTACATTCTGATACAAAACTGCTGTATTCTGTCCATGCCTTGAAACTTTGTAGGAGGCTGAGTTTGCTGCTAATGCGCTAATTAATCTGGCAGAGGAAATTTTTAGGTGCACCAATTTTTTAGCAGTGGCATAGGAACAAAAGGCAGAACAGAAAGTTTTTAAAGACTTGCAGGTTTGTTACAGTTGAGATCAAGGAAGGTGTGCTATTGCTAAAAAGATTAGCAGCACTGAAAACAAACCGAGTACTATGCACCTTTAGTAATGGAAGACCCCACTCACCATAAGCTCAGACTTCTGTTTTAAAAAGAGACTCCTGGGGGACGCTTCCAGACAGTCTCCTAAAGAGTCACTTCCCTGGAAGAGTTTTTCATGTCAGTCATGTAGACATTCAGAGGCTGTTGCAGCCATGGGTCATGGTACAGATCACGCATGTGAGAAACCTCAGAGTTGCCCATGTGTAGAATGCAAGAGTTGTAGGGTCGTGGAAGCTTCCACCAATATTTCAAGCAGTATATTTAAATAAGATTAGAAGATCTCTGCATACACACCCTAAAATTGAAGTGCATGCAGTTGTGAGAATGAAGCTAAAGCTGCAGTGAGGACCCCAGAAAACCAGAGATGTTAGGAATGTAAAGAACAGCACAGAGTACTTGCAGTTGTTTAGCAGAGGTAGCTCAGAAGAGTAGCCATGTGGACTACCATGAGCAAGGCCGTGTAGATGAGCCTCCCCAAGTTCTCCAAAGCTCAGTTCATACCATCATTTCCCCTGGGTATTGCACATACAGCTGTAGGGTTGAACATTTGCCCTGCTGTATTTTTCTCTCTTGGTCAATTCCTTCTTTACGGATTCCCTAGTCTTTGTTTCTGGAGTGAAACGTTTCCTCTGCTAGTGTGTTTTGAAAGTCTATTGCTTCATCGTCATCGTTGTCATCACCATCATTGCTGTGACAAAATAGTAACTTCAGAGGCTTAAGGAAAGAAAGTTTTTCAGTCTGTAGAACAACAGAGCAAACAAACACCTGGAAGATTTCAGTTAGTGTTGTGGTACTAACCTTGCTTGTCTCTTGCTTCCTTGATTGTTTGCAGTAACCTCACAGGAGATACACTACACATCGTCCTTTCAAGCCACTAGAAACAATCTCTTGTTAATGTTACCTGTTATAAAGTGCTGGTGAAAAAGAATGTCAGAAGTTTAAAAAAAATTACTCAGTGGAGACTTCCCAGCTCTTGTTGACAAACCACAGCTTGACTTGTCTGGAAAAGTTGTCACTTACATCACAAAATTGAATGTTTCTTAGAGAGTATGAAAGAATGATTTTTTTGAGGAGGCAGTTAATTAAAATATTTGGGCATTTGAGCTGAGTGTATACACATAATTATTTTAAATTAGAAAAGAACAACAAATATTGCTTAATTACATAAAGTAGTAAAGATGAATGTGTAACAGTTTGTCACTTAGTAGTGCATTTGTGTGCATATGAAAGTGAATTTATAAATACTTGGAGTTATTAATACATGTGTCTGATTTTGTTTATGTTCTAACACAATAAAAATTATGGAAAGTGTAATTTTGAAATTGGACTTTGGACTTTAAATAAATACAGCTTCCGTTCTTATCTTTGCTACAATAAAAATGGAACTTGTAAATAACTTAGGCTTTTCTATTTGTTTTTTAGTTATTAAGTCGAAAAGACAAAACTACTTTTGAAAAATTAGAATATGTAATGAGTAAAGAAGATAACTACAAAAGACTCAGAGACTATATAAGTAGCTTAAAGATGACACCTTGCATTCCCTATTTAGGTGAGTGATGTCACTGTGTTTTTGTTACTCGTAGTTGTTGCTCTTTCTGAATCAGTCATTTTTATGAAATGCAAAGTATTTTCTAAAGTGCATGTGTAAAATTTCTAAGCTGAAAAAAAAATTAGGTAAAGAAGTGTTTCCCTTTCCACCTGAAATGCTTTTCGTGTTAAATTGGCCTTTTGTCTTTAGGCTTCCCATAGAGTGTACGGTTAACTTAGAAATTGGCCATATGGTAAATACATGTTTTAGCTATTCTGGTAATGCTTTTAAGGACTGACAAAACCAATGTGTTATAGTGTGAAGTTTAATATATTAACTGATGGCATTGATCCAAGCTTTCAGATAGCAGACTGTTGGTGAATTCTGATGAGTGCTTTCAGTTAATTATTGGTATTATTGTTTGCCTAAATGAATTGTTTAAGTGTGGAAATTTAGCTTCGTGCATGACAGTTTTGTATTTATTATTTGATAAGAGTTTATGTCTTTATATATTACAGTATTAATAAGTTCCAAAAGTATTTAATAACAGTATAGGTTTTTTTCAACAAAATAAGAATAATACTTTGTTGAATATCTGATTTAAAAGAGGTCCAGAATAAGCTCTCCTTTTAAATTTGTATGTAAAGATACAGGAAATGCTGTGGGTGATACATATTTAAGATCCATCAAAATAAGTTGGTTTGCCTCTGTCGAGATTCTTCAATTGATAAACATTTGTTTCTCATCCCACTACACATCTCTTTTCTACCGTTTATGTAGTTACTTGCAGTAGACTTAAGGGAGCAATTTCTGAGAATAATTATAAGTGTTATTTGTTTCAGATATCTTTAAAGTCTTTACATGGTTAGTGACTTAAAAGGCAGACTCAGAGGCTGGTATAGAAACATCTGTCTGTCATAGCAGCGGTCTGAGGTCTCAGAGAAAACTTGATAATCAGAACATTGTGGGATATCCTGGGATTCTTCTGGTGGGGTAGAGATGTATTTGACACTGTATTTAAGACATAGCATAATGTAGTTAATGGCCACCACATTTTTTTTAAGATCATAGCCTAGCTGTACCCATATTTAGAAATGTAATTTGGGGGAAAAAAAGGGATAAAGGAGTTATAAAAACTGTGTCTTCGTGATCTGTAAGTTCTTACAAATAAACCTTTTGTTATATAGGATCATTAGACTGAGAATTGGTGACCCTCAATTCTCAAAAGGCTCTTCTGTGCTTAGATTCCAGTCTGTTTCCTTTTGAGTGAAGTGATGTCTTTAACCCACCTACTTTGAGAACCAAGGGCCCTAGAGGTAGAAATCTGAATTACAGTCCCACGGACTCCATAACAGCCACGGTTGTCTAATGTGTCTTCCTAGCATTGCCAGGTATACCTGCTCAACTTGCTAATTCAAAATTTACTCATTCTGTATTATCTTCTCACTGAATTTGTTTTTCAATATTAAATGCCATCATCTGTCACCTTCTAGGAAAAAGTTAATTTTTAAAATTAGGAATGAGAAAAATGACAAATTAATTCTTATGCTATTATTTCTAGCTCTGGGATCTTTGTTCTCTAATCGTTTTCTAGTGGAAATTTAGTACAGAAGTTTAAGCTGTGTGTGTGCATACATTCTTGTGTGTTCACGGAGCTGTGTAATTTGTGAACCTCTGTGTATGCGGAGAAAAAGGAAGTTACTGAGTAGCCTCCGGAAAGGTGCTGAGTTGGAGACAGCTCCTTCTCTTCCAGCCTCGGGGCCTGAACTGCCATTTCTTTGGGTCAAAACTCTGATGTGAAGATGTTAATTTGTAGAAAATACAGAAAATACTGGAACTTTTTGTTTGTTTGTTTGTTTGTTTGTTTGTTTGTTTGTCTTGGTTGGTCTCGACTAATGCCCAGGCTCCCTTTCTTTTTGTATGCGCTTGCATCTTAGAGTCTCACTTTTCACTGTTACTGTGTCTTTTTCTTTACCCCAGGAGAAGGACCCCACTGCTGCTGTCAGTTTTTGGGGTGCTGTTGTCTCTGTCCTCACCTACTTGACAGTGTTCCATAAGTTTTCTTCTATGTACTTCTCAGACTGCATCTTGATTTTGTGATTAAGATGCTAGTTATTTCTGCTCTGGAAACTCTTCCCAGCCTTTCTTTACCGCCTCCTGAATTTCTGTGCTTTGTTTCGTTGGCTGCTGTCTCTTAAATATGGAGCCATATAAAGATGTCTAATTTTTTCACACTCTACTCTTGAGTTCAGTGGAGTGAGCTCCCTCAGGGTTTGCCGTATATTACTTAATAACCTCTGCTCTGGGCTAGGCCTGTATGTCTGTCTACTTAATTTTTACAGACTAAAATACCAATCAGTTGACTTGAGATACTTCCGTTGACTCCTAGGTGAGCAGGTGCTTATGTGAACTCTTCTCCTCTCCTGCAGAATGACCCCATCTTATCTTCTAACCACATCTGCACACCATTGTATACTTCTGAACATTACAGAAGTAAGCGGTTGAGTAGAAACTTTGTTCTGTTGAGATGGGTCTCACGCTGTAATTCTGGGTGTCCTGGAACCTCCACAGATCTACCTGCTCTGCCTGATGTGAAAGTGTGCAGCACCACACCCTGCTAGTACATGGTTGTTATTGAACCAATCAGATGGTCTTTTTCTAGCTTTCCCCATTGTTCAACAGTGTTCTTTTACTTCTGTTTGAATATAATAAATGGACTTGTGTGGAAATTTTGCATGATTCAGCTCTGCAGCCTGCAGTTTTCTTTCAGTGTCTCAGCTGACACCAACATTTACTTAGCCCTATGCTTGGTGCTAGACACCTAACAAGGAATAAGATGGACTTTGTCCCCTCCCTTGTGGATTTAATAGGACTGAAATACAAACCTATGGTTTGTTACATTTCACCTCTTTCTCCTTCAAATATGTGCACAAATTAAAAACCAAAGGGAAGTTGAATATGTGATACATACATATATCTTAGCACTCAGGAAATAGAGACGAGAGGATCATGAGTTTGAGGCCAGACTGAGTTTTGCAGATGAAGGCCTGTTACTTTATAAACAAGTAGTTGGGGATTGGTATGATTCTGTTGAGACCATATATTTAAACATCTGCATGATTTTATGTGTTGGTAGTTCTCATATGGTTCATTCTTACTTTGTTCTGTGAAGAACATCTATTCTAGAATGAGAAGATATGGAACATTTGATATAAACACTAGGTAGACTTGACAAATGAAGCTAATCACATATATAATTATGACTCAGTTTAGTTTCCAGCTTGAAAATTGTCCTTTTCTGGTAATGACAGTTTTGTTTAGTAGCAAACCATTTGAGTAAACTTGATCTGTCAAAGCATACGTGTCTTTTTGTTTTATTATTTGTTTAAGTTTATATGTGTGTGCACACTGCTTTAGTACATATGCACATATGTACCTAAAGGGTGTCAGACTCCTTGGAGTTGGAGACATTTCCAGATGCCCAGCTTGTCACATAGATGTTGGCATCCAAATTCCCATCCTCAGGCTTGTAAAGCAAGCACTCTTAACCCCTGAGCCACCTCTCCAACCCTTACACATGATTTTCTTAAAATATGAGGGGGCTGGAGAGATGGCTCAGTGGTTAAGAGCGCTGTCTGCTCTTCGAAAGGACCCGGGTTCAATTCCCAGCACCCACATGGCAGCGCACAACCGTCTGTACCACCAATTCCAAGGGATCTGACACCTTCACATTAATCCACATAAAATAAAATTAAATAAATTATATTTTAAAAAAGAAAATATGAAGTAAACCTCACATGACTTATTGACTAGTTCGTACTATAGGCAAATGGTTCATTTTTGTTTTTCATTTCAGATCTTTAGTACTGAAACACGTAGAAAGAGGAGGATTTACTGCTAATTTGCATCCTATACTGGTATTTTTTAATTTTAACTTCATTTGAAATTAATTAGGTCTTGAGTTTTCAGGACTTAACTTTCCTTGATTTTAGAATCCTTTTCTATTCATGGAAAATAGAACAGCTTTCAAAACACAAGTTCTTACAACATACTGTACATTTGATGGGACAGAAGCTGCTGAAGATGTTGGAAAGTAAGATTTCACTGTTCTTTTCATACTCAATTTCATAATGCTTCCCGTTTTTTCTTTTGTCCGTAAGTTTCTTGCAGAAAGGGTGTCATCAACTAAAGGGATCTGTAATACAGAGAGAAAGGGTAATGCCAAGCAGCTGTTCCATAGCAGAGAGGAGTGCTAAACTAACAGTGCTTTCAGGGCCATTACTAGCTCAGCAGGCATATATAGTCCTATCACACCATCCTGGAGACTAGTTCAGCGTCCAGAACCTATAGCAAGGTGGAAAAGAGAACCACAGCCTGACAGGGACACACAGCACATGTCCACATCCACCAGGCACATATACTAATAAAGCATTTTAAAACTAAAAAACATTAGGTTAGTAATAAAGACCAACCATTCATTATAAAGATTTTTTTTTTTTTTCTAAATGGTTGTTAGGCATTTATATAGTAATGAGATTCTTCCATGTTGCCAAAAGTGTCAGTAATTCAGTGTGGGCTAAATTTCAGGAACTAGAAAATACTCTTTTGGCACTCTACTCATTCTCCCTTAAAACAATCTCTTCTGTTGGTTTCCATTCAAGGTAAAAAGTGTTCACTTGGACAATCTAATTAAAAAAAAAAAAATCTTAAAACAAGGATGCAGTTTGTCTAGAGAGGAATAGTTTGGCAAATGTCAAGGAAAATTTTGTTTTATATGAAAGTTGTTGCTTTAAATCTAAAAACCATTAGCAGCATTCATTTGTCCTTGTCACTGGAGAGTGATCTTAAGGGGCCTGTTGAAGAATTTGGCATGGAAGTTCTGCTTTGCTGCAGAGAGAAAACTAGAACATTGCTCAAAAGTAATTTAATTTTGTGAAACATGGTAAATACTTTTTCATGTGTATTTTCTAAATCTCATTTCTGCTTAGTTCATGTAATGGAAAAAATGCAGTAGCACAACCAGATTAGAATATGTTCTGAGAAAGGCATAGTTGAGCACTGGAAGTAAGAGAATCGTGGCACTGTTAAGAGAAGCAGAGCATAGAAGTTTTTGTGAACCCTCCAGCCTTTTCGTAGACATCAAGTAAACTGTTTTGACTTACGGAGATACAATTCCCTCAGTCTTAAAGACACAGCTCTTTTCATATCCTCCTTTATATTTCAACTGAAATGTCACATTTTCAGGGGAAGATTCTTTTTTTTTTTTTTTTTTTTCCCCCAAACCCTCCACTCCCATCCATTCCCTTTCAACCCACGTGTGTAAGCCCTTACTTGTCTTTGGATTGTTTGGCTGGCTGGTTGGTTTGGTTTGGGGGGGTATTAGCATGTAAATAAAAAAATATTTAATAGATACTCGCTGGGTCAGAGGATCCCTTTCTGGCCCCTGGAGTTGTTCTGGAAATTTGTTTTCATCTCTGTTGTGACACAGTACTGTGTTCCCGTGGCAGGTTTACAGCCCTTTGGGTGCTCACCTCAGCTGGCAGCTGTACTTACTCAGCACTGTCCTTAGGGCTCTCCCAGGGTATGCAGTACTAAGTGTGGCCGTAATAACAAGGAATATGGCTGATAGCCATACTTCCTGAATAGCTCAGTTTCCTGTGTTGGAGGAGATGTGTATTGTTTCCCATAGTGGATTTTAAATCTGTTTACCAGTTAGTGAAAAGTTTAAGGCTTAATATGGGTTCTTTGTGAATTTTATATCATACACCCCTGTCCCACTTATTTCCCCTCCCCCATACCTACCCTGGCAACCTCCCCCTCAACAGAAAAAAACACTCATTGTGGAAGCTGTAGTGTGTCACAGTGTGTTCCACACAGTATACCCTTTTGTCCACACTTCTTTGTTTGCAAATGTTCATTGCAGTGACTCATTGGTCTAGTACAAGGCCTCTGACTTCTATACTCTATTAATACTGGAACCTTACTGGGCCTCCTCTCAGATATCCTGTTGTTGCCCTGTGTCATGGAGATCCTATGGTTTAGGATTTGTAGGACTCGCTCCATCTTGCACTCCAGCAGTTCACCAATGGGATAGATGTTGGGGTGGGCCAATTCAAAGCCCTTGATCTGGGCCTGAGAGGTATCTGAGCTAGTCAGCCTGCCAGATCTCCTGCACTTATGCCCTGAGAGCTAGCTCACCAGCAATAGTCCCCACCTCACCCCTGAAACCAGAGTCAGCTCTACCCTGCCCAGTTGAGGTGTAGGGTCTGCCAGTGAGGAACATGGCCAGTTTTCCTACTCTTACGACCCTGGGACCAGCTCTTCCGCCTGCCATAGATGGTGAAGGGTGGGGGAGGGAAGGCGGACATTCCTCCCTTGTCTGTGCCACTGCCCAGCAGGCAAGAGACAGGGCCAGCTTACCAGCAACTTCCACATCCATGGCCAGTGCTACTGTGCTGCCCAGGTGAGATGCAGGGCCTTTTCTCCTGAGTGCTGCCGCAGATGAGGGTGACAGGCAGGACCAGCTCCTGCTCTCATGACCCCATCAGGGTCAACTCTGCCACCTACTGCTGGTGGAGAGGACAAAGGGGAGGAGGGGTGGGGATTTCTCCCTCGCCATTGCTACTGCATAGCAAACAAGAGGCAGGGCCAGCTCACCTGCAACCTATGTCCACGGCCAGCTCTACAATGCTGCCCAGGTGAGGTACAGAGCCTGCTCTCCTGAGAACTACAGCAGGTGAGAGCCAGAGCCATCTCTGATTACCTCACAGCCAGCCCTCCTGCCTGGTGTAGGTAGTAGCAGGGTAGGGAGGGGGGACGCCATCTCTTTCTTGTTCTTGTCAGCTCACAGCAGCCAAATGGTGAGGCCAGCTCTCTTATGCTCATGTCCTTGGTTCCCTCCTTACCAGTGCCCACCATGGTCAGCTCTACTGTGCTGCTAGGTGAGGGCCAGGGCCTGGTCTCCTGAGTGCTGCAGCTAATGAGGGGCAAGGCCAGCTTTCCTGCTCTCAGGACTCCAGGGCCAGCTCTCCTACTATGCCCAGGTCAGGGATGGGTGGGGCCTGTTCTTCCTAGTTCTTAGATATCAGCATGTCTCTAGGGAGCAGACCAGACCAGAGACATCTGCCTGGCCTTTGATGGTAACAGACTCCTGCTGCTTAGGGCCACAGACTTGTATGTGGCTCCTGGTGGCAGCACAGATGGTATTTCAGTCACTTTTCTGGGAGCTCAAGAGTAATCTGTATCAGCTTTATGACATAGTAGAATGCATCCGTTAGTTAGACAGTTTGAGAACTTATTTCTGTGTTCTAGTTTATGTGTTTACTTTCATCTTATTTTGTTTTAATTCTGTGACAATTCTATAAAATTTGTCTTTGTTGTCAGATTTGGGTTAAGTGAAATGCTGGTAGATGGCAAAGTGCCAGTGGTATTAGGTTATAACTTTACTAGAGGTTTCATTTGCTCTGGATACGTGAGAAACACTGATCTGTGAGCATGCATTGTCTGCGTGAGTGGCCGTCCCTGTTAAGCCATCTTTGTGTGTGGGCAGGTTGCCTTGCTCATTTTAGTTCCATTTTGATGGTTTGTTGTTTTTTATATACTTAAAAAAGTAGACTTACTTACGCACACTCTCGCATCTTTAAAACTTTAGCTTTGCAAGTAAGTTAAGGGATGATCAGTTTTAAGAAGTCAGTATATTATTGGGAGGAAGGTGTTCTAGAAGGCCCCTAATAAAACAGTGTTGATTGAGAAGATGAGGTAGACAGAATAGGACTGAGGTTTAGTCATGCTGTAAGGTACCATTAGCAGTTTAGACCTGCCAAGGCCTATTGATTTTGCTTTAAGGCTATTGTATCCTCACTGTTAGGAAAATGTCTTTAATTGATTGTTGAAGTTGTTTAAGCTGTAAGTGTACAGCTTATAGAGATATCCAATCTTTTTCACAAGTAATAGATTTCTTCATTCATTCATTCATTCATTCATTCATTCATTCATTCATTCATTTTGCTACTACTATGAAGCATACTCAGGCCTTCAAGCATGCCAGGTGCATACTCTGCAACCAGGTTATTCCCCGGACTGTAGTGGGATAAGGGAGTAATGAATACATTTAGAATCGTAATTAAGCTATATTAATAATTTGGTATATTGATGATTCTATTTTGCGTTATCAGTATCCTACTGCTTTTGTTGTTACATAATGTGTAGACCAGGAGCTTTTGGCATTAGCATACCATGAATGTCAAGGAATTAATTTCTTTTTCTGCATTTCCCATTTAAGTACTGAGGGTGTTACTTGTGCATTTTTAAAGTGATATGTTTTGTACTTTGTACTCTAAATTACTGGAGGAAATTCATTACAAGCGAAAAGCATAAATTCAATTTAAAGTTTTATTTTAAAGTTTTATTCAATGGAAAAACATTTTCTATGGCAAAACTAGAGAGTTTTCTCTAATTTCCTGTCTGTGTTTTTATAAATAAAATAAACTGCTTGGCTGAAATCTTAGAATTGTTTTTTCCATTGGAAGTTAGAGCAATCTTTTTTAAATAAATCATTAAGTATCTTGAACATGTATTTGGATTTGATTGAAAATAAAGCTAAGATTTGTTTGACATTGTGGCAGATATTTCCATTTACCTGTATTCAGTCAATATAACAAGGATTTGCATACAAATAATTTTCTGTAGCTTATTGAAGGAATATGGAACTACATTCACAGATACATTCTTATAGTCACAGTACATTTTTTTTTTTTTTTTTTTTTTTTTTACAAACTGTACCTGTAAAAATAAATTGTGCAAAGTAACATGTAAAGTTTACATTTGGGGAACTAAGAAGTGAAGTTGTAAGTCATTTAGTCGGGAGACTGTGTGTCTTCAGTCAATTGGTTTGATCATCATCTGCACTGCCCTTAAGGAGTATGACCCGCCTCTGTATTCCGCCCAGAAAATCCCGTCTTGGTGCTTGCTTCTGTAGGGCCCTCCTCTGTACCAGACTCCGTTGAGGTTCGAGTGTGCGCAGGCGTTATACCACCATCCTCCTTTGTGAAAGTGGGCGCAGTTTCCTGCAGGAGAGATACAGACACTGAAGTCAAAGTTCTTCTGTAGATGGCCTTTTGCAAACTGTCAAGAGTGTGTGCTTTCTTTGGAGCAGTTTGAATGACTGCCGCCAGCAGTGTTTATCTTGGTTTGCTTTTCTTTACTTACGTCTCTGGAGTTACCTTATTCATTTCACTGTTGTGTGTGTTTCTGTGTGCGCGCGTGCATGTGTGTGCCTGTGTAACTTTTAAATTTCATTTTCTGCAGAATAGAGTAAATAAATGCAATAAATATGCATAAGAATAAATACAGGAAGAGAAAGAGGAGATAGACAGCTTTGACTAAGGAAGATGGTAGAACTTGAGAGAAAATTGAAGTCCAGCAATAGCCCAACTAAAATTAAATGAGTTTGTAAACAGAAAGGTACATTTTCTAGTCCTCTCTCTCTTCTTCCTCTTCTGCCAGTGGGAAATAAGTTAAAATAGTACCCAGCGTGCTCCTTGGTAAGGTAATAGCTGAATAGAAAACTAAGTCAGTTTTTATGGTATCTCTTTATCAGTATAGAAATCTGATTTTAAAAACATAGGTGAGTAAATGTAAAAGTATATGCAAGGTCTGATTCTGTTAGGAAACTATTTCTTTCTCCTCCTACTCGAGCGATATTACTACCACAAAGCCAAATGTTTTTCCTCTTTGAGCCCAGATAGGCTTTAATTCAGATGATGTCATCTCATAAGAACCTTTTCTGCACAACTTACTAAACAGTACTCATCTAAGGGCCTCATGACAGCCATATTCTGTTCTCTAATATGATGGTTAGTGTTATCACCAACTTGACATAATCTACAACCCCCTGGGAAAGGAGTCTCATTGGGGATTGTGTAGGTTAGGTTGGCCTATGGGCATGCTCTTAGGGGATTATCTTGATTAAGTGAATGGACACAGGCACATCTGCCTGCTGTGGGTGGTATCATTCCCTAGACAGAGGTTTCTCAACTGTGTAAGAATGCAGAAAGCAAGCTGAGCCACTAGTGTTTGTGCTTTTGTTGCTCTGTGTTCTTTAGTGTGGGTACAATGCCACCAACTCAAGCTTTTGCTACCATGACTTCCTTGCTATGCAGAACTGTAACTTGGAGTTACGAGCTGAAACGAATCCCTTCAGCATCTCTCTATCCCTTTAGTTGCTTTTGTCACAGTCTTCATCACAGCAATAGAAAAAGAAACCAAGAAACATTATTTGGTTTCATTTTCTTAAGACACACAGGGTATATACTCACTCATAAGTGGACATTAGACATATAATATAAAATAAACATACTAAAATCTGTACACCTAAAGAAACTAATCAAGAAGGAGGACTCAGGCTAAGATGCTCAAAGGCAAACAGGATGGACATCAGAAGAGGGAGAAAACAGGGAACAGGACAGGAGCCTACCACAGAGGGCCTCTGAAAGGCTCTACCCTGCAGGGTATCAGAGCAGATGCTGAGACTTATAGCCAAACTTTGGGCAGAGTGCAGGGGATCTTATGAAAGAAGTGGGAAATAAATAAGATCTGGAGGGGACAGGAGCTCCACAAGGAGAGCAACAGAACCAAAATATCTGGGCACAGGGGTCTTTTCTGAGACTGATACTCCAACCAAGGACCACTCATGGAGATGGCCTGGAACCCCTGCATAGAGGTAGCTATGGCAGTTTAGTGTCCAAGTGGGTTCCATAGTAATGGGAACAGGGACTCTCTGACACGAACTGATTGGCCTGCTCTTTGATCACCTCCCCCATGGAGGGAGCAGCCTTACCAGGCCACAGTGGAAGACAGTGCAGCCAGTCCTGATGAGACCTGATAGAATAGGATCAGAAAGAAGGAGAGGAATACCTCCCCTATAACTGGACTGGGTGAGGGGCATGGGTGGAGAGGGGAAAGGATGGTGGGATCGGGAGGGGAGAATGGAGGGAGCTATGGGGGGGTATAAACTACTTAATAAAAATAAAAATTTAAAAAAGAATATTAATCACCACCTAATGAAATATTTTGCTTCCTCTTGGAGGGAACCTCAAAAGGGCAGAAATTTAGTTTCCCATTGAATCTCCGATTTCTGACATGGTATGTGTCCAGCTAGTATATAAATGTGATGGAGAGTTTCATTTCCAAGAGAATGTAGCTTGAGGGGTTTTTTTTTTTTTTTTGTTTTTGTTTTTGTTTTTTTTTTGGTGGGGGGAGCTTTCCCCAGAACTTATTCTTCCCAAAGAACGTGGGAGTTGCCTTAGAAATCTTGAAAACCGTTTTTTATTTTTTTCCCATTGAACCTTTCTGAGATTTGAGAAGCATATAATACTGTAGTAATTTCGTCTATTTAATGCATAGAATGTGGTGATCGTACAGCCATGTTTGTTTGCTTGTTTTACCTGTATACATATCTTTATCTCTGTCCAGCGTGGTGAATTGTTTCCCATTATGCCACATCATAGAATCCCCTGCATTCCCCTGGTAGGTTCCCAGGCGCAGTCTGTAATAATCACTCTCAGACTCCAGACGAAAGCTACTGTATTCCGCGTAGACCTTCTTATCGCTCCAGTCTTCTAATTCAATCAGCAGCTTGTAATTGTCTTGATTACTAAGCTTATAAATATTGTCCAGTCCAAGCCAGTACTCTCCATCAATGTTTCCAAACCCTTTCTGTTAATAAACACAGAATCATGGACATACAGGTAAGTGTAGAGGTGTTAAGTGTTGCTAAAGCTACAAATTAAGTTTAAACACCGCGTAGAGTGAGGATATTGCTCATTTAAGGGTAATGTAACTTCCATGGTAGACTACCCTATTTCTGTAAGTGCATTTCAGTTCCACATTGTTGTTTTCTTTTGCTTTGCTTTATCTCAGTGTCAGTATTACTCTATGTAGCTTCAAATGATACAAAGAAGATTAAAGGCTAAAGACAACAGAATTTATTGATAGCTACTAAAATCATTGACTGAATTAACTCAGTCCTTCAGTAGGGTTCCTCATCACACCATCATCCACAGATCTATGTTTGAAAGCATGTGTATACTGTACCAATGTTAGTATATCTAAAATCATGATCATTGTTCAATCAAGATGAATAGTGTCTTTCATTTTATTATAAATAAAATATGAAGTATTATAGTAATCTTAACAGTTTACCCTGTGAAAATTATAAATCACTGACTGAAAGAAAAGGACTATCTTATTTTAATAAGCATTTGAAATTGGAAGTTTGCATCAGAATAGATTTAGTAAACTTCATCATAACACTGAAAATTTGTCTTCAAAAAGACTACAAGGAGGTCATATCCCCACCCCATTTGTGGCAGATGTTAGAAGTTTTCGCCATTTCTGACCTAGATATAGTAATGTTTCATCCTTCACTGCCAGTCAAGTTTTATGTAAGAATGAGTACGTGCATGGTTACTTCACAGTTTTGAACAAGGGTTAGCCCTCCAGAAGATCTCTTCTTTCCAGTCTTTAACTGCTGACATTTACATCTATATCTCACTCACAGATTACCACTACGAACATCAGAATTACCAACAGAACAGTTGTTACTTCCTTAAATTAGTATCACATGATCTGCTTGTATCTGCAAATCTAGTTGCGTTCATACCCTACAGTACATGTCATGATACAAACTTAAAGCATAGTTATTAAAAATAATTAGTTCAAGGAAAGGCCTCATTTTTAAAAAAGTTGTTTACTTGCCATTGCTTAAATACTATATATATCATAAACAAAAAAGTAGTTTCATTAAAAAAGGAATTGGAGGGCTGTAAAGATGGCTCAGCGATTAAGAGCACTTGCTAGTTTTAATTCTTAGCACCCACGTGGCAGTCTGCAGCCACCTATAATTCCAGTTCCAAGGGATCTGATGTCCTCTTCTGACCTCCATGGGCATTGTGTTTACATGGTGTACATACATAAATGCAGGTAAAAGACACATAGGTAGGTAAGTAGGTAGATAGATAGATAGATAGATAGATAGATAGATAGATAGATAGATAG